ACCAGGGAATGCCTAAGGCCCGATACAGATGTTATGCCTGCGGGGAGTGGGGACACATAGCTGCACAGTGTCCCAATGCTGAGGAGCCTATGCAGTGTAACCTGGGGAACTGGGCAGATCCATGCTCCCTAATCCACCTTGTGGGGGTCTCACTAACCCCACATATGTACACCAGACCAGTGAAACTAAATGGGGTGGAGACCACAGCACTGGTTGATTCGGGGAGTGCTATCACGCTTATCTCAGGGAAGTTTGTGAAGCGTAGTCAGCTGCTGCAGGCTAAACGTACGGGGCTAACATGCGTCCATGGGACAGTTAGTTATTACCCGACCATCCCAGTAAAAATTGAAATCCAGGGGAACACTACTGAGGTAGCAGCAGGTGTAGTCCCTAAACTCCCATACCCGGTGCTCATAGGGAGGGACTTCCCAGGGTTTGGAGACTTACTCCCAGTAGGAGGACTGGAGAAAGTGGGGAACCCTGAAGTTAGTGAGGCATCCACAGTAGACTGTCAATCCCCAGTCTTCTCTGAAATATCCCCAGATTCGTTTTCCATTTCCAGACAGGGTAGAAAGTAGAAAAGGGAAAGGAGGGCAGCTAAGTCTGACCCACACCCTAATTCCTCTGAACCAGTAGAGGCAACAGAAACTGGCCCCCTGGATCTTAGGCAGATTAGCCCCAGGAGAGGAAATTTTGGACGGGACCAGGCTGAAGACCCAAGGTACGACAACATTAGGAAGGAGGTGACCGAAATAGATGGGGTCCCGTGGAAGGGAAAACCCAGGGACCAGGACCCTACTTCATAATGAAGAAGAATCTCTTATACCGGGTTGCACCAGTACAGGGGCAGAAGGTACAGCAGATCCTAGTACCTCAAAAACACCAGAATGCTGTATTAAATCTTGCCCATAGTCCTCTTTTTGGGGGGCCTTTGGGGGTAGAAAAGACCCTGGCACGGGTCCAGGGACGATTCTTCTGGCCCGGTGTACATGAAGAAGTGGGGAGGTACTGTGCGTCCTGCCTGGAGTGTCAGCTGCACAGTTACCGTCCCCACTTGAGGGCACCTTTGGTACCCCTTCCTATCCCTTTCGAGCGAATAGCCATGAACCTAGTGGGACCCCTGGAGAAGACAGCCACCAATATATACTTGTCATTCTGGATTATGCTACTCGCTACCGAGAAGCCGTCCCCCTGCGGAACACGGCCTCTAAAACGATAGCTAAGGAGTTGGTGAGGATCTTTGCTCGAGTGGGGCTACCAAAGGAGATATTAACAGGCCAAGGTACCCCCTTTATGTCGAAGCTAATGAAGGACCTCTGTACGCTGCTCCATATACATACCTTGAGAACTTCAGTCTATCATCCGCAGACCGATGGGCTGGTAGAAAAGTTTAACCGAACCCTCAAGGCAATGATAAGGAAAGTGGTAAGTCGGGACGGGAAGGATTGGGACACCCTACTACCCTACCTTATGTTTGCAATCCGGGAGGTACCTCAGGCCTCAACTAGATTTTCCCCCTTTGAGTTATTATATGGACGCCACCCCCGTGGCATACTAGATATCGCAAAAGAAATCTGGGAAGAGGAACCCAATGAGGGGAGAAATATAATAGAGCATGTAATGCAGATGCGAGACCGGATAGCCCGGGTCAACCCTATTGTACAGGAACATTTGGAAAAGGCGCAGGAGGCCCAGCGAACAATCGCCAGGCAAAAGTGCGACAGTTCCAACCAGGGGATCTGGTGATGGTGTTGGTCCCATGGCAGAAAGCAAGCTTTTGGCCCAATTGCAGGGGCCCTATGAGGTGGTTGAACCCATGGGGGAAGTAACCTACAAGGTGCGGCAGCTAGGACGCTGAAAACAAGAACAGATTTATCACATTAACCTCTTAAAGCCTTGGCACCAGCGAGAGGCGTGTGTAGTGGCCCAAGAGACCCCGATCCAGGGAAATAACATGCAGGAGCAGATCAGAATATCCACTTATCTGACACCAAACCAGAAGAAGGAGGTAACTGAGATGATCAACCGATACCAGGACGTGTTTTCAACCAAACCAGGTCGGACCACCGAAGCATATCACCACATTATCACAGACCCTGGGGCAAAGGTAACTTTAAGGCCCTATCGGGTCCCAGCGGCAAAAAGGGAGGAGATCAAGGCAGAGGTAAAAAGGATGTTGGAGCTGGGAGTCATTGAAGAGTCCCACAGTCAGTGGTCAAGCCCGATTGTGTTGGTGCCCAAACCCAATGGCACCACTAGGTTTTGTAATGATTTTCGCCGGCTGAATGAGAGATCCAAATTTGATGCATACCCCGTGTCGATGAGTTAGTTGACCGCCTGGGCAATGCCCGATTTTTGACCACCCTTGATTTAACAAAGGGATACTAGCAGATTCCCCTTGCCAAAGATGCGAAAGAAAAGGTGGCATTCTGTACCCCAGAGGGTCTGTTTCAATATACTGTTCTTCCTTTTGGACTGCATGGGGCACCTGCCACCTTCCGGCGTCTTATGGACAAGCTCCTACGGCCCCATACCGGTTATGCAGCGGCATACCTGGATGATGTGATTATTCACACCCCCGACTGGGAAACCCACTTGGAAAAGGTGGAAGCGGTTCTGGACACGCTAAGACGGGCTGGCCTCACAGCCAGCCCAGCCAAGTGTACTATAGGGCTAGCCGAGGCTAAATACCTTGGCTACATTGTAAGAAGGGGCTTGACCATGCCCCAACTAAACAAACTAGAGGCTATCCAAAATTGGGCCCGGCCGTATCGGAAAAAGCAAGTTCAGGCATTCCTGGGTGTAGTGGGGTACTACTCACGATTTAGTCCCCATTTTGCTACCAGAGCAAGTCCTCTGACAGACCTGATAAAAGCCGGGGGTCCAGACATGGTGAAGTGGACAGATGCCGCAGAGAAAGCATTCATGGATCTACGGACAGCCCTCTGCAGTAACCCCGTGCTTATAGCCCCAGACTTCAACAAAGAATTCATTTTACAAACAGATGCATCTGAAGTAGGATTGGGAGCTGTCCCATCACAGATGGTTGGAGATGAAGAACACCCAATCCTCTACCTCAGCAGGAAACTCCTCCTGAGAGAGCAAAAGTATTCCGTGGTTGAGAGAGAGTGCCTCGCTGTGAAATGGGCCATGGAAACACTACGTTATTACCTTCTGGGACAACGGTTTACCCTTGTGACCCACCATGCAGCAATGCAGTGGATGCAGCGAAATAAAGAGAAGAACGCAAGGGTGACCAGATGGTTCCTGTCCCTACAACCTGTCCAATTCACCATACAACACCGGGCTGGATGCCACCATGGCAATGCAGATGGCTTGTCACGGGTACACTGCCTGACGTACCAAGTTGCCCAACCCCATGGTGTTGAGCAGAGGTGGGGGATATGTGTGACAGGGTCAGGCCAGAGGGCTACAGAAGAGTGATAGAAGGCATATATATTAGCCCCAGGTTAAGTAGGTCCCCTTTCCCTGGGTAAGGTAACAGGGAAGGTTCCAGAACAATCAGGAACTTTCTGGAAACAATTAAGGCAGACAGGCTGATTAGAACACCTGCAGCCAATCAAGAAGCTGCTAGAATCAATTAAGGCAGGCTAATCAGGGTACCTGGGTTTAAAAGGGAGCTCTCTTCAGTTTGTGATGCGCGTGTGAGGAGCTGGAAGCAAGAGGCGCAAGGAGCTGAGAATGAGAGGGTGTGCTGCTGGAGGACTGAGGAGTACAAGCATTATCAGACACCAGGAGGAAGGTCCTGTTGTGAGGATAAAGAAGGTGTTTGGAGGAGGCCACGGGGAAGTAGCCCAGGGAGTTGTAGCTGTCATGCAGCTGTTACAGGAGGCACTATAGACAGCTGCAATCCACAGGGTCCTGGGCTGGAACCCAGAGTAGAGGGCGGGCCCGGGTTCCCCCCAAAACCTCCCAACTCCTGATCCAACACAGGAAGATCTCTGAGGCTAGCAAAATCCACCAATAAGCGCAGGACCCACAAAGGTAGACGAGGAACTTTGTCACACTAGTTACTTTAGCCTCTCCTCTGTTGTGGTGATCATTCCTCTTTTTATGTACTTCGTGTCTTCCAGTTTCCATCTCTAGTTTATGGTCAGTGATTCTCTGTCTGATAAGAGTTTGCCTGAGAGATGCACATTTCTCTGAAGTGAGGTATCTGCTAATGTAATAGTTTTGTGCAGGGATCCATAATGTGTGCATATGCACACAACTAACCAGTCACAGAGGAGCATGCATCACACACGCACGCACACAAAGAGCACTAATCAATCTTGGAGGGGCGCTGGGTGGATACACTAGGGTAGGCAACCTATAGCACACATGCCGAAGGCGGCACGTGAGCTGATTTTCAGTGGCACTCACACTGCCTGGGTCCTGGCCTCCGGTCTGGGGGGCTCTACATTTTAATTTAATTTTAAATGAAGCTTCTTACACATTTTAAAAACCTTATTTACTTTACATACAACAATAGTTTAGTTATATATTATAGACTTATAGAAAGAGACCTTCTAAAAACGTTAAAATGTATTACTGGCACACGAAACCTTAAATTAGAGTGAATAAATGAAGACTCGGCACACCACTTCTGAAAGGTTGCCGGCTCCTGCACTAGGGTGACCAGATATCCCGATTTTATAGGGACAGTCCCGATATTTGGGACTTTTTTAATATGGGCTCCTATTACTCCCCCACCCCCGTCCCAATTTTTCACACTTGCTATCTGGTCACTCTAGGATACACATACATACTGTCTGCCTAACTGAGCTTAGGAGGGTATTCATTTCTCCCACCAACCAGTGGTGGGATACTGTTGGAGACAGTACACTGTATTACTAGACTAAATGGACCACTGATCTTTTCCACTGTATCACTCCTTATGCTCTGAATTATAGCGTTCAGAAACATGTTTAATGAAAGAAGAGATTATACAAAAGAAACATTTCCTACCTTCCTGTATTCACTTTGTTTTCTTCTTTCAGGCTAAAATTGTCTCTGTCAAAGAAGCTGCAGGATTCAAGGAGAAACTGACATGTTTAAAATCACTCCTTTGATCCAAACTGAAGAAAATTGAACCCAAGAACAAAAAATAAAAATGGCAGAATTTACAGGTTATAAGGAGACTTCAAATCGCCACCTTCGATTCAAGTTACAGAGCTTTGGCCGTCGTCTTGATGAACTGGAAGAAGCAACAAAAAATCTCCAGAAAGCAGAGGATGAGCTTCTTGACCTTCAGGACAAGGTTATCCAGGCAGAAGGCAGCAATTCTAGCATGCTGGCTGACGTAGAAGCTCTGAGAAAAAGAGTGCTGAAAATTGAAGGCAAGGATGAAGAAATAAAAAAAGCTGAAGAGCTCTGTCAGTTGATGAAGGAAAAACTGGAGGAGGAGGAAAGTCTCACTCAAGAACTTAAATCAGAAATTGAACAGCTTCAGAAGAGAATGGCAGAACTGGAAAAACTGGAGGAAGCTTTCGGCAGGAGCAAGAATGATTGTACTCAGCTGTGTCTGAGCCTTAATGAAGAAAAAAATTTGACCAAAAAAATATCTACAGAGTTGGAAATACTTAGGATGAAAGTAAAAGAACTTGAAGCATCTGAAGACAGACTGGATAAAACTGAACATAGTTTAGTAAGTGAGTTAGAAAAGCTGAAATCTTTAACACTGAGCTTTGCTAGTGAAAGAAAACACTTCAATGAAAGAGAAAAGCAGAATGAAAAATTAATCCAGGAGCTAACACAAAAACTAGAACAAAACAACAAACTAAATAGGGCAGATCAAACTAGAAATGCATCAAACCTGCTAGAAAGATCATCAAATAGTCTTCTGGATAGAAATGACCTGAGAATTGAAGATGACTTGACCTCTGCATTGCCCTCTAAAGAAACCAGAAGAAAGGGAAGCTTGGATTACCTAAAGCATGTAGAAAATGAAACCAGAAATAAATCAGAAAATCAAAAGAATAAAAATCAAGAAGACAACAAAGTGAAAGATCTCAACCAAGAAATTGAGAAACTTAAAACTCAAATTAAACATTTTGAATCTTTAGAAGAAGAACTTAAAAAAATGAAAGCCAAAAATAATGACCTGCAAGATAGTTATCTGAGTGAACAGAATAAAAACAAGCTCCTGACTGGTCAATTGGAAGAAATTAAAATTCAAATAAAGAAACAAAAGGATATGGAGAATGGTGAGGTGGAAAGTGAAGAAATGAGCTTCCCCAGCAGAATTAGACATGACAGACCTAAATACAGAGGTATCACAGCTGAGCCGGCAATTTCAAAACACAAGTCACGGGAGCTTTCACCTCAACATAGACGAGAAAGGACACGGAACAGAGAATTCTCTTCCAATAATGACAGTTATACCACAAGTAGCAAGCAAGTTCCCAGTCCAAGTTTAATTACTAGGAGAACAGTAAAGGCATCTAGTACATCTGCTCTACTAGACACTGTGATTACTGATACAAAAAGAATGGAAGACAAATCAGCAGTTGCTACATATTTATCTATGCAGAAAGATAGTGGTGCTCCACAAAATGAAGTGAAGAAATCGAGAGAGCAGCCATCTGTGCTGAGTCGATACCCACCGGCTGCACATGAGCACAAATCTTGGAAAGCATCTTCCAAACCTGGGAATGAAAGTGGACTGAAGACCAAAGTTGAAAAGCCATCTCAAATATTTAGTGATGTTTGCCAAGGTAACTCTGATGAAAAATCAAGCAAAGGAGAAATGACTGTATCTTTGACTGAAAAGATGAAAACAAGCCAAGCAGAGATGTCTGATCTATGTGTAGAGATACCCTTTATGAAAAGTAACCATGCACCATCCAATGAAACAGCTTCATCATATAGAAACCATATCTCTTCTCAGATGTTAGCAGCTGAATCCACCAGCTCTAAAGCAGAAGCAGCAACAGTCTCTGTTTTATCTCACAGACAGTCCCCAGAAGGGAAATCTAAACGAACAATAAACTCCCAAGAAAGAGAATTTACAGACACTTTTCATGAAAATACAAAGCCTCCAACTTTAATAAAGTATTCAAACAGCTCAAGAAGTCAAGAAGACATCTTACAGATTCTCACAATTCAAGGTAAGGAAGGAATGGACCAATCTGCACCATCAGTTACAGGTCAGACAAATGTTGGCATAAAATCTGACTCTTTGAGATCCAAAGCCATCAAACCAGCTAGCCATGAAAAACTTAGTACAGATGAGGAGATTGGTAAAAGCACCAATGCTGCCACTGAATCAGAACTGGAGACGAGAAAGAAACCCAGTTCCAGAGAATTCTCAAGCTCCAGAGGAGTTCTCAGAGCATCTCTCTTTGAAAATGATAAAAATACTGGAAATGAAGATGACCCCCCCAAATCCATAAAGACATCTGCAGATGCCGCCAGCGTAGGATTGAAATCCAGAAGGTCATTCAGCCCTAGAGAAGCTTTGAGATCAAAAGCCATCATTAAACCTGTAATAATTGAAAAGGACATGAAAGAAGTAATGGGAGGGGCTGGGTCTGAGGAATACTCTCAAAAACAGAAATCTCTCTTTAAAACTGTGACAAATAAAATGACAAGCAGCATAACAATCTTCCCCTCTGAGCCAGCCAACACAAGGACCAACACAAATGAAGCCGCAAAGGAAAGACATACTTCTACCAGCAATATTCGAGTCACTCCAAATGAGCTATCAACCATAACAAACAACATCAGCACACCCTTTGATATCTCAATTAATAAGAGTGATGCTGCTCTGAAATTATCTGAGGCAGATAAAATTGGGGATTTAGCTCTGAGAAACAGGACGGAAACACTAATCTCAAGAAGCAGTATTATGATAAAACCTTCTGAACTCATTGAGAAGAACAATTGTGAGCCATCCTTAGAATCAATCCACTGGAAAAGCCATGGGTCTTTAGAAGCAGATTCACCAGAGACAAAACACATCACTCTGAGAAGTTCTTGGAGGACAAGGCGGGGATTACAATCTTTGGAAGACTCTCAGATCAAAGTGGAAAAAAATACAGCTTCAACTCGTACAAAGGCATGCAAGTCATCTACAGACCTCTCTGAAACAGAAGGGGCCAATGCAAGAATACATTTACTTGAGCAGAATTCAAGAAAGTCCAGGGCCACTATTAATTCTTGGAATACCCCTGAATTAGAATTCCGAAGGACCCAAAGTAGCTTGAGTGCATCTGAGCTATCTACTCGAAGGAGCTACGTCCATGATCCTATCACTGCTTCTACTTGGAATCGCATGACATTAACAGTAAGTGTTCTCTGTCTTCTGTTACTTTTAACTGTCATTCTCTTTTTGAAATTGTCCACTAATTGTAGGATGCCCAACTTGAAATACTAACAGTTCTGATTTTCAGAGGCGTTACATTCCCAAAGAGTCCAGCGGAGGGCAACAAAAATGATTAGGGGTCTGGAGCACATGACTTATGAGGAGAGGCTGAGGGAA